CATCCCACCAGTGGGACCCTCGCCAAGCCCTGCTCTGGAGATGCAGCTCCGTCTTCTGGTCCATCTGTGCTGGGCAGGGGACAACAGGAAAGAAAAGCCCCCGCCAACCTCATTACTGGAAGCCCTGGCACCACCCCCAGCCCACCCTCGTAGGAGCTCAGCGAATGTTGAATCAAACTGAGGACAAGGATGGGGGGCGTGAGGAGGTAACCTGTGACACCAGGCACATCCACAGACCCTCGGCACTGGGCACTGAGTCATCAGATAGCAATGGTTCAGGGTGGCAGATGCTGTTCAAAGGGAGGTTGGAGGACACGGCGAGGCCTGGGTTTGATTCCCACCTCTACCCCTAGCGGATTCTTCGTGCATTTGTTGGGCAGTCATGTGCCAGGCACAGGGGCTACAGCGGTGAACAAAAAACATGACCTCTGCCTGGGTGCAGCTTATAACGCGGTGTGAGAGGCGAGCGGGAAGGAGCAAATCTCCAGGAACACCGGGAGAAGAGTCCCCACACCTGCTCCTCCCTCCCCGGATGGCTGCCACCTGTGCTTGGGTCCTTAGCGCCAGAGGAGTGGGTCGAAGCAGCAGAGGATCTGGGAGCCAGGACACTAGACGTGGCAGCTTTGGGGCTTCAGTTTCCCCTTTTTGTCAAGCGTAGGGGACAGCAGTTCTGCCAGGCGGTTTCCTCTCCTACACTAGTGAGATTGCATCTGGCCGCAGTGAAGGGCTAAGGAAGGGCAGAGAGGGCCGGGCTGGTCCCCGGGGCCCACAGTGCTCCAAGTGACAGAAATCCCTGCTATTCTGCCATAGACACTGGAGCGGGGAGGGGGGCGGGGTGGCAGATAGTTATTCATTCATCCATTCACTTGACAGACCAGCACTGGGGAACAAACGATGCATGGGACATGGTCAGTCCCTGCCTGACAGGATTCAGTGTCTAAGGGACAAGCAGCCTGAGGGGAGGCCAGGAGACCCGAAGGTGAGGGCCTGAATCAAGGGGCATCTTTATCCCCCTCCCAGCCTGAGCCCCCTGCCCCAGGCCTAGATTCCCATGACCAGGCAGGACTGCCCCAGGGGCAGGAGACCTGCAATCCCACACCCGGCCAGCCTCCCAGGAGAATCCACTGTACATCATTTATTCATTCCACAAATGTTTACTGAACAGCTGCTCTGAGTCTGGCACTGCGCCTAGTGAGCAGAAACTGAGGATGAGCAGAAGCAGACCTTGTCCCTGTCTTCACGTGGCTGACAGGCTCGTCGGGGAGAGGGGCGGGCTTCACATGGTCTCAAACATAGGGCAACAGCTGTGACCGGTAAAGCAGAAGATGCTTAAGAGCTGTAAGAGGGAGAAAGGGAAGCCGCCTCTGAGGAAGGGAGGGATTGATCTATAATCTGAAGGAGGAAAACCTCACCAGTGTTCCAGAAGGAAGAAACATCTTGAGCAAAGGCCTGGTGGCAGGTGGAGAAAGGGAGGGGTTTAATGAGAATCTGCCAAAAAGCCATTGAGGCTTTTGGGAGACCAGGCAGAGGGAATGAGGAGGCAGAGCCAGACTGTGATGAAAGGTAGGGTCTTTGGGGGCCCCGGGGGAGTTTAGCCTTGTTCCCGGGTACCTTGGGAAACCAGTGAAAGGCTTTAGGTAGAAGCCTCCCTGTCCCCCCCCCCCCCCCCCCCCCCCCCTCTCTCCCTGTCTGAGATGAGTGGGTGAGGGCAGGGCCCGTTTGGGAAAGCCTAGATTGGAGGTATTACAGAGTCAGAATTAGTGGTGGGAGCTGGATTGGCTGCAGGGGTTGAGCGCAGGGGAGTTACAGTTAGCCGGGTAAGGGAAGGACGGTGGGCTCATTCCCTGCATGGGAACACCTTCAAGGGCCAGGTCTGGGGAAGGTTGGGATGTTGTGAATTTGGACTTGGATCCTGTTAAATTGGATGTGCCTTGGGGACATTCGTGCGGCCAGGCCCGGTAGCCTGTAGCCTGTGGTTTCAAAGAAATGCTGGTTATGGAAGGCAGCTGTGGCCGGGAGCTCACTAGGGAGACCCGGAAGGCACAACCAGAGAGGCAGAAGGAAAACCAGGCCAGGAAGTCTGTCCTGGAAGCTGGGAGAAGCCAAAAGGGAGGGCAAGGCTATTATTTCTCGCTGAGCCGCGGTGGGCGAATCATCTTTCTGAGCCTCCTCTGTAAAATGGGGGCAGCACGCCCACTTCACCCATCTCACCACTTTGCGCTCCAGCTGTGATGAGGCCGTGAGGAGAAAACATTTTGCACAGCGGAAAGTGCTGAACAGACGTGAGGCTGGCTCCGCGGGCGCCTCCTCCCCGCGGGGCTGCCCCCAGAAGAGGGTTGAAGACCCGAGGTCGCGGCGTGGCGGCCCCGGCGGCGGCGGCGGCGCTCGCGTTAGGACCCAGCGGATCCAGGCTGGAGGGCGGGCGCCGGCCCCGTCGGGGGCCCGGAGGGGGGTTCGGAGCGGGCAAAGGGGCGGCTCCGGCGGGCGGACTCGGAGCGGGCCGCGGAGTGACCCGGCCAGGTAGGCGCGGGCCTGGCGGCCTGACCGGGCCGGGGGCGCAAGGGGGGACTGGGTCGTGGGCCGCGACGTCGGAGGGCCCCCAGGTACTGAGGGTGCGGGGCTCTGCGGGTCCCCGATCCTGGGGGCGGCTTTCCTTTCGGGATCCCTGAGTCCGGGGCCGTCTGAGCAGATGCTAAGAGGGCACTTGAAAAGTTTGGGGTCGTTTGGAGGGGAAGACGCGAGTTGGAAGGGAGGGCAGCCCGATTTGGGGGGCGTCGGGGATGGGGCGGCTTTTGTTCTCCCTGGGAGGTTGGAATGCGGCGGCTGGGGTGTGGGTGTCCGGCGGGAGCGGCGGGGACAGAGACGCGGAGAGACAAAGAGAGATCAGAGACCGAGAGAGCGCGAGGGAGCGCGCCCGAGCAAGTTTCTGTGGTTGATTGTTCCCAGCTGTGCGGCGCTGCAACATCTGGTTTCCTCCAGCCGGACCCCAGCCCGGCCTCTGGAGCAGACAGAGCCTCCAGCAGAGTGAGTCAGTGAGCGTGGGGGCAGGGGGCCCGGAGGAGGCCCCGCTAGTGCCCCTCCTCGCCAGGCACAGAGGGTAGAGGGTGTCCCAGCCGTGGAAGGGGCCCGGGTCCGGGAACAGGCCTCCTAGGCAGGTCCCAGCCTCCTGACACCCAAACAGTCTGTCGTCTAGATGTGCTTGGAGGTGTGGTCCCCAGGAGGGACCTGCTTCTGCCACAGGGACTTTCTTCTATACAGCCCAGCCCTCCTTCCCCCAATAAGCCTGGGCCTGGGTGCTCAACCTCCGAGGGGAGGAAAGGCTCCTTGCAGGGGGCTGAGAGGCCTAGGAGGGGCTTTGGGGACCGACAGAACCCCCCGCCCCCCAACCAACCTCCCCAGCTTGGGGCCTTCTCCTGAGTGCTGACAGCTCCAGCTAGCCTGCCTGCCACCAGCCTGGGGGGCAAGTAGGGGACAGTGAGGCCTTGTGGGGAGCTCCAGGCCTTTCAGCCCCCGACCAAGAAGAGGCCAAGGGTGCTCAGAATGGGGATGTGGGAGCCAGATGTCCCCGGCCTGTGGGGCAGCTTGAGTCACAGGTCTCGCCTCCGCCACCCCACCTCATCCCCACCCACCCCATCAACTGCAGTTAGGGTTGAGGAGGGAGTGAGAGGCTGAACGTATGAGACAGGCATCGGGTCACGAAAGCGTCGGGACTGGGCAGGAGGGAAAGATGCCCATGTTTCTGCCCCTTCCCTCCCCCTCTCCCTCGACTCCCTGGGCAAGGCACGATGGGGCAAAGTTAGGTTTCCATTCAGCTATCTGGAAGAACTCCTTTTGTTGTGGCAGGGCGGGGGTCCTCCGGATGGGTGAGCCCGGGGACTCTCTCCCAGCCCTCCTAGCAGAAGGCTGACAGCCTTGGGGCTGCCCCGCACTGAGCTGGGACTGGACAAGAGGACCTGTAGATTCTGCCAAGTCCACTGTGGGGTCAAAGACTGGAGGCTGGACTCAACCAGGAGCTCTTGAATTTCAAGAGCCCGCTGAAAGCTAAGGACCAAGGCCCTCTCCCCAAAAAACTACACACATAACACTTGTCATACAGTGTCAGGTTGGGGGACATCACGGTCCCCTTCAGTGCTACCCTCTAGGATCCGGAGAGGCGCTTTTCAGACTCCACCCTAAGTGCTTCCTGCTGCAGCAGACAAGTAGACCTCAGTCTCAGTCTCGTGAGTGTGTGATGAAGTCAGCCAGGTCTTGGGAGGCCTGGAGGCCTGGCAGGAGAAGAATCTTGGGGTGGGAGCCCTGCCCAGGCCTGGCTGTCCCAGGGGCCCCTGAGGCCAGGCACACATGTGGTTTCC